ATACTGATAATTTTGTATATGTTTTTTACAATTATTTAGTAAAGGGACAAAAATTTTGCCAATAAAAGCCAAAAATTACATTGAACTAAGTTACAATTTAGGATACAGCTTTCTTGTTTCCTTTTTTAATAACCTATAGCAAAAAAAACTTGGAAAATTATTTTTCTAACAGAAATAAATAGAGTCAAAGTGCAAACTTTAAACCCTTATAATTTCGAAATTTTTATAGATAATATTTTTTTAACATTTTTTCCATGTTTCTGGTATCTTACCTTATATGGCATTTTTCTCTGGAGCGCGAGTTCTGGCGCACCCTGTATAAGTTCAATAAATTATTTTAATTTGTTGTCATTTTTTTTCTAGCTATCAGGATAACAATTACAAAAACCAAAAGTGAAGTTAGTTGTCTAAGAGCCGTTCTACATTTTTATGTCAGAACGACAAATCGTCCAAAATTCCGTGTCCGCCAGTGTATTGAGTTAAAAAAACCTAGGATTCCAGAAAATATTTACATACTGATAAAATAAATTAAATATATGCATAAAAAAATATATAAATTCATTTTGCAATATTTGTAATGTTGTAATCTAAATTTTTTAATTTTTTTTTGATTTTGTCAGAAATTTTCTCGATAACTATTTATCGCAGAATTGACCTTTTTTGCATATGATAGAAAAATAAATTTTCTATTCAACGATATCAAACATAAGAGGTTATTTACCAATAAGTCCGAAGTTTTGGCAATAAAAATCTCGAGAAAAATAAAAAAAATTCAACTTTAAAATTAAGCCATTTAACGTTTTTTACATTTCTAGAAGTCTTAAAGACTCAAAAAAGTGCATAAAATCTTATTGAGTCAAGTTTTAAAAATTACGAATTTTTCGAGTTTTTCAAGTGAAATCGTAAAAATAGTCAATTTACTTTAAGTCATAAATACGCTTGAAATATGGTTTTCTAGACGTAAAATTACTAAAATACTCTACGATGCATAGTTTTTGAAATATTGAGTAATAAAGTTAAGAATAAGGCTAAAGGTATAAGCACCATATCCGATTTAGACCAAAAATCAAAATTTTTTGATTCTTATGAAAAACTAGTACTATATGTAAAATTAAACGGAGAACACGCCTGTACAAATTGCTTTGACCTAGGACTCATAGTTTTTGAGATATGAATTTTTTTTTGAATAAAACTAAAAATGGCTCTGTACCCGGAYCCATAACCCGGAGCGACTTCCGGTTTGCGCCAATAAATAGATAATTTCAAGCTACTTTTAATG